AAGTGAAAGGGGTGAGGATAGGCGACGGAAGAGGAAGGAAAGGTCGCGCGCGGTCCGTGGCCCGCTTGTAAATGGTTGTGGTCGGGCTTTCGCAGGTGCCGGTGGAGGTGCTGGAGAAGCTGAGCACCAACCAGCGGGTGCTGCGCGCGGTGCTGGACAAGTGCCCGTCGCTGTTCCCGGCGCGCAGCCTCAGCGACAGCGGCCCGCTCGCCGCCCTTCCGCCGCCCCCGCCCTCGGCCGCCAACGGCACCGGCGCGCGCGCCCGAGGCGGCAGCGACCGCCGACCGCAGGCCGCCCTCGCCCCCGGCGCCCTCGCCCTGCCGTCGCTCAAGCGCGCGCGCTGCGGCGTGGCGCAGCCCTCGCACTACCTCAAGGGCATCCGCGTGCACAGGTCAGTTCACTGCGGGCAGCTTTCAGTTGTTCTTTAATGATTATTTTTTTGTGTCGTTTCTAAACACGGTAACTGTTGGGGTTACCAATCCCGTAAACAGGTCAGTTCACCGCGGGCAGCTTTCAGTTGTTTTTTTTATGGCTAATTTTTTGTCTCGTTTCTAAACCCGGCAACTGTTAGAGTCACCAATCCCGTAAACAGGTCAGTTCACTGCGGGCAGCTTTCAGTTTTTTATGGCTAATTTTTTGTCTCGTTTCTAAACACTGCAACTGTTGGGGTCACCAATCCCATAAACAGGTCAGTTCACTGCGGGCAGCTTTCACTTGTTTTTATATAGCTAATTTTTTTGTGTCGTTTCTAAACACGTCAACTGTTATGGTCAACAACCCGGTAAATGAAGTGTATGTTCTATCCCGGGAGGTGGCGAGGTATTTCCCCTGCTGGAGCCAGAGATCTGGTTCCGAGCTTGTGGCGTTTCCCTCTTCCATGTATCTTCGTCAATACGGGACAAGTCAGGCAAGCTCCAAGATACAAGTCTCCCGATTTATGTGATAGTGTAGGGAATATGAATCTGTGTTTAAGGGAAGAGGAAACAAGAGTGAGAAAGGAAGTGTCCCGTGGTTGGTGGCTGGCTTGTTTTTTTGGATTCTGATCCGGCATTTGCGTGGTTTGATCGGAGAAACCATGGAAAACTACCCATCAGATCTGCCAGCACCTACAATTCTCCTCCAGTCAAGGCGCTGTAGCGTCTGGATTTGACCTACCTTTGTAGCTAGTGTTGAAAATCTGCCATCTTTCGGACTTTGACTCTAGGATCTCCTGGTCAAAGACGCTTTTTTTCTTTCTTTAAAGAAACAATGGCCAATCAGGTATCCCGTGGCGTACTTAGAGCTGGTGTCACCAGCGTGGCCATTCCCAACGTTCTCTAAAATGGGCTTTGAAAACTCCAAGGAAATGGGGATCCGAGAGGAGCGGACACCAAGGCAGGCACACACAAACAAACTGGGTTACGAAGACGGCTTGCATCGGTTGTCACTGCTGTTCAAAGTTATTCCCCCAATGGAACTGTTGGGAGATCAATTCGCCGACGGCTGTTCTACAACTGGCTACAACACGACAGCCTGACGACTGTCGTGTGGTCTTTGGCGGTGTACGGGAGATCACTTTGTAGTCGTACTTACTGTCGTAATAAATCCGAAGAACATTCTTGAGAAAATTTTCTTGCCCTATTTTTCTTGGTTCAAGCGTTTCAACAAGTGCAAATCGTAAATGAGGCACTTTGGTTAGCAATGGTAAATGCCGACCTGGCTGGCCGAGGTGGTCAGAAGCCTAGCTGCCGACTCAGCGCCTCGGTCGAAGGGTCGCGGGTTTGAATCCCGCCGGATCCAAACATTTACCGTCTTTGCAGGCTTTTGTGTTTCAGAATTATAAGAAAATAATTGAATTGAAATAAAAGCTTGAGAAAATTAGAGTACGTGCAATTATTCACTGGTATTTGATTTACACGATTATACATTGGGTTATGTCACTTTATTAAGGTCTACCACAACGTTTCGAAACTTCCGATTGGGCAGGAGGATGAAACACGGAGTCGCCTTGTGTTCGGGATACTAGGCTCTTTGAGGCAGGTCTGTACAGTGCGTCTCTTCCCACCTCTCGTGAAGGTGCCCGAAAGCCCCTGTGCCGCTCCCCTCGCGCGGACGGGAGTGCCTCGCGTTTGCGTGCGCTGGATTCCTCGCCGCAGAGCGGCCTCGGCGAGTCCCCGGTTCCTCGAACTCTTCACAGATGCACGGCGGTGCTCCTCGGGTGGGGAAACCCCGAAGTGATCACACGAGAGACTCGACACGGGGTCGGCTGACAGGATCGTGGAGGAAAACGATCGTTCAAACGATCGTTCAGTGAGACTTATTGTCAATCGCTAATTCATTCAGTTGGTTCACTCATTGAAACAACCGCTCGGTCGTTAAATTATTCAGTCCGTTTGAGTCAGTAAGACTCGATTGAAAGACTCCGAGAAAACGTGACTGGAGTCGACTTTCTCTCTAAAATTCCATGTTGATGGTCGGGAATGCGAGGCTCCACGTGCGAGG